ACCGCCCATTATATAAGCGCCCTGGTTTAAAGCCACTGCACGTGACATATTATGGTTGACATGATTTGCCAATAAACTTATGAATTATTAATGAGTGTTTGAAAGTAGTATAAATGTTTGCACATGTACATATTTCAGTTGCTCGTAAATATCGAGAAGAATGAGGTTGAGCACAATATGAAGAAATATCAAGCCCGAAGTTTGCCGTTATCAACCGAAGCCGAAGGCTGAGGTTGATAACGGCAAACTGAGGACTTGATAATTCTTCATATTGTGCGAAAACTGAATTCAATAATTGTTTTATTATTTATTTAAAAAATTCAAAACATTTGTATTTTATTTGTATTAAGAAAAAAATAATTCCTTAGTCCTTCGGCAGCCGTCGGCGTCGTCATATCAATGGCGTCAGCGAGTAAATATGACTCTCGTCGTCATAGTAATATGGCACAACGCGTCCAAATTTTTTTCATATTGACTCTTTGACGTCATTTTGCTAATATGAATGCGAAAAATTCATATTTGGTTAGCCATTGAGTTGATATGACAATTTCACAGTTGGCTGTTAGCCAATCAGAAACCAGAAATTTTTTAAATAAGTTATAAATATATTTATTATATGGGAAGCATTTGCTTTAATGACGCTGACGAGGTAGAATTTTCCCGTATTGACCACGTGTAATGTGCAATTTTTATTGCTCTGCGACGGGAGCCGAGTTTCAAACGGCAAAAAGTGTCTTAAAAGTCTTTCAAAACTATTCAAAACGAAGAAAAATAAACCTAAACTAAAGAAAGGGAGCACCTTCTGTGGTTAAAGAACTTTCTCAATATGTTTTAGTTAGCGAAAGTCGAAATTACAAGGTAAATTTTACAATGTTCATAACTAATAAAGCAGCCAGGAATAGTTGTGTTTTGACTACTGTGAAGAGCTGCAAAATTTATTTGCAGATAGCCAAGGAATTTGACATCATCCTAAATAAAAAATACACCTAAAGCAGCCACAGATTTATATTTTTCCCCTGAAAATTTCTGTTTTTGTTAGATAAAAAGAGACATAAATATGAGGTGAGGCGAACTAAAGACAAGTCTATTTTAAAAGTAATTGTCCATACTGTTTATTAATTTTATTGTTTTCATATTTGTTGTCTTTAATTAAATGACGAAATACCTCGTATTTTTCCTGAAATAATATCCAAACTGTGTCAGTATTCTATCTAAAAAGTGCTGTAGAGTAGTTTTACTATTAAACCAAGAGAACATTTTTACAATTTTTTTTTTGAACAAAAAAAACCCAAACCAAGAGAACATTTTTACAGTTTTTTTTTGCAAATGTTTCGGACTTTGTACTTTGCCCCCTCGCGTGATCTTTTTCCCATATTTTTACAAACGTACAATGCCAGATAATATCAAACTTACTGACCTCGACCGTTGGGGCAGTACGGAAAAATATCCAACCTCAGAGCCTACTTCGTAGCCAACGTTTGCTCAGGTTTGTCCGTTTAGGGGAAAAGCAATCTGAAAATTAAAAATTGTATATACATTAACAAATCGTTTTTCTCACTTGTACATTAACCAGTCACAGTACGAATTTGTCGTGGACTGTTACAATAACAATGGTATTTTCCTGGGTAGTTGACACAACGTTGACATCATTCACATCAGCTACAAAAGAGAACGCAATATAGTTAATATGACGTAATGTACAGCTTAGATTTTTCAAGGAGATTTTAGGAGAAAATACATCCGTTTTGCAGACATAACCCCTAGAGTAAAAGATTCCGAATTTATCACAATTCTAAAACGTTTTAGTACAGGAGTGGTGTTGCAGTTTACAAACGCAGTAAAAATACGATTGAAAATCAACTCGGACAGTCAGACGTTGACCAGTAATACTACAAAACCAATATATGAACAAGAATTAAGGAACGTCTTCGCCAGCCAATTCGAGTATTTATGCATAAGCTGTACATTCAATAATTGTGCATTCAGTTCCTTTCAGCCCCGAAAAACATTCATGGCAAAAGTTTTGCAAATTTCATATCCATCAAAACTGAAACAAATCATTTAGTTAGCCCCACCAATTGTTGTGTCAAAGTGTTTGATTATTATGTAAGTTTATCCCGGCAAACAAACAGACAACTTATAGAAACTTAATTAAAACAGGTGTAAGTAAAATGACTTTCCCCAGATGTTCCTCTCTACGGAATCCTGTTCAGTTTTAGTTTTTCTTCACAAGTGAAGAGTATATGGTTGTCCCTATCCAGACTTCTTTCGAGATCGACCTAACTATTGTAATTACTCTCTCCCCCCAAAAACATACCAACATCAGCAGCTGGAAGTGGCACATTATTTATCACCAGAACATATATAACCCTCAATGTCAACTTTTGAATGCCGTCTACTGAAGAAGATACCAATCCAGCACGGAATTGTCTTCCAAGGTTTTCATTATCGATTTCAACTTGTGTTAATGTTGGCAGGAAATATATATATATATATAATGAAACCATAGTTGCAGAATTCGTTCTAGAACTAGAAAATTAGAAAGAGGTTCGTTACATTAACCTGTTTGAAGTGAAACAGTACAGGCTGTATCAGTAATATATTTCTATCAATAATTTGAAAGAAAATGGTTGTCTAATATGTTTATAAAACATGTTATATATGTTATAGTAAATGAAGGTTTTATCAAAAGCGCGTCTTGTTTGACACGAGAGTATTGTATCTTAAGGCGGTTTTTCAGTCCTCGCACGAAGCTCCTCGGAGCTCGCTGCGAGTGCTTGCGTCTAATTAAAATAAACTGTTTAGCATTAGGATTGAATGAAAGTTCTCATTCATCACTCGCAGCGGGCTGCGAGGAGCTTCGTGCGAGGACTGGAAATCCGCCTTTAGGCTATTCCAAACAACTAATAGCAATGTTTTCTTTAGTTTATGTCCATTCGTGTCACGTACAGTATACACCCACTTTTTGGAATGGGGGGGGGGGGACAGATTTATCATTATCCCCCATTTGCCATGCCTGATAAATAATTGCATAATTTATTAAATGTATGAAAACTCAAAATGTAAAATAGAGTGCGATGACATTGAGATGCAAGTCACCTGCTGACCCCGTCAGTAACTTAGTATAAACTGACAGTCATATATTAACGGTTAAAAATATTACCTGAAGCTTCTCAGACGAGAGCCCAAATACTTGCTTGACAATACAGTTCCTTGGTACTGTTCATCCACCTGAAACAGTTTAATTTTTTCTTACACTACAATATTTTTTAAGCCAGATAGGTTGCCAGCTCTAATATATAAGTTAGCTATAACATGTTTTCAATCACGGCAATATATATAGTGTACCAAGCTGCAATGATGAGGCGTAAAACGCCGAAACATGCATGCATGTCTGGAATGCATGCATGTCTGATTTTGGAACTTGGGTCGGAGTTCAAACAAATTTCATGTCTTTTATTTGGGAGGGGTGGGGGGGGGGGGGCGTAGCCTGAATTTCTCAAATAAATCAGTGCATAGTTGTCTCTATTAACTATGATCAGTGTAAGGGTACGTTTACACACGATTAATCGGGCCGATTCAATTAAATGATATTTGAAAAATACGCTGTTAACGTCATCTGACACCATTCGGAAAAACTTGAAATCGGCCTGATGAATCTTTGAAGATATCCACCATTAAAGGGTGAAAATGAAATAACTTATTGCGTTATCGATATCCACTAATGAATTGGGGTAATATTTGGAACTTGTGTCAGTTAGGTCGTCGTTATAATCCAGGTCTTCCAGTACAGTAAAGTCCAGTTCGTAAACATACGCATCTGAGGAAAAAATAGGAAATCGCAAAGTTCCCTTCATGTTATACGAGGTAATATTACGTGCAACTTCAAGTAGAATCAGGTTCAAATTATTTTTTGTAACTGGCAACAAAAATGTTCATTGTGATTCCAGTTGCAAACTAGGGGTGTTGCAGAACCCAACAATAATGATTACGACGAGTAAAAGCTCGTTTACACTTGAAATTATTGAATTCAATTTTCTTCTCCTGATGTATGTGAACGAATGGATGAGTTAGGAATGTTTAGATGAGGGTAGATATACTCAGAACATTCATAACTTAGTTTAAAGATAAAGAGCAGAGCCCAGCAAATAACTTTAAATCAAAACATAATAAAAGTAAAAAATTTATTAGTTAACGTTTCGTTGTTTACAATACAATACAGTGCATATTTGTATTGTAAACAACGAAACGTTAGCTAATATTTTTTTTACTTTTATTATGTTTGGATTTAAAGTTATTTGCTGGGCTCTGCTCTTTATCTTTAAACTAAGATTTCCGCCTGGTGTATCAATTGCCACATTCATAACTTATATACTCGTTCTCATTCATCAGAAGAACAAAATCGCACTAGAAATCGCAGAAAAAATTGCAAGTGTAAACGGGTCTAATAACAACACCGTTGTGTTCAAATCCGAGGGGAAAATCTGTCCATGTAACATGGTATTCAATAGATTGCTATTTTAAAAAATTTGATAACTAGTCATGCATGGGTAGCCATTATTATTGCCCCCCTCTTTGCAATGAGAGCAAAACCTAGAAGAGTTTAGTTTTATATCGGGGACATATGATGTTGACAACGCAGTGTTGGATTTTTCTCATGAATATTTTTTAATACATACCTTCACAACTATTACTGACAAGCCACTGACCAAATGGACAGACACAAGAGAAATTTCCGCAGAGATTTCGACATTCCAAATTTGCGTCACAAGCTGAGGATGTTGTCTGGCATTCATTAGTGTCTGAGAAATATTACCATTTTCCATTCTTAGTTTTCGAAATTTCACCTTTTACCCACTATACTACTTATTACAATTTAATGTATTCTTCGCAATGTGCAGTTATTATCGTCTCTACCTACACTGGCTCAAAACGTTCGTGTATAAACGACCAAATATAAACTTTCCTTCCACAATATGAAACCTATTGCTTACCAGAGAACATGCCAATCCTTCAAATCCTGGCTTACATGTGTAGTCACATTTTTCTATTAGGTCGTTACAAATTGCATTTTCTGGGCATGCGCCAGGTTGACGGCACTCGTTGATCTCTACGAATGTACAATATAAACTAAAATCAAAGCCTGCTCTAAATCTATTTCCGAGTCTATGCAATTGTTAAAGCAGTGCAAACATAATATGATATTGAAAAGAACATTTCCAGTGAAACCTGCCAAACATGTACAGGTATAGGAACCAATTGTATCAGTGCAGGTCGCATTAGCATGACAATTATGAGTTCCCGTAGAACATTCGTCAATATCTAAATAAGAGATACGTTTCTTTAACAATTGTACGGTGTAAGGAGCAGATTTTTGATTAATGGTAATCGGAAAATGATCAAGATAGTGATTCGGATTCACATATTATATTGATGAATGTTGACATTGCTTTTCAGTCTCCAATATTTAAGTGAGTCATGCTTTGGAAATGACAATATTTTTTTATTGCCCAACCCTTGAGTTGTTTTGTTTTTCATTTACACAACCTTTTATTTACTCAAAATTTAGTTTACCCAACCTTTTTCTCCTCGGTGCCACCCCCCGCCATATATAAAGATCTGTCCCTAATAATAAAGGTTTAAATTTGCGACAAAAGCGCCGTACTCGATCCAATCCTTTCAGGGCTGACGTGACGTTCGTGTTGTCAAAACGTCGCTTGCTTAAAATTAAGCTCTCCATTGAATAATTAACACCTTCTATGTGAACTCGAGCACTACAAAAAGTACAACTTTATGGGTTGGAGTTATTAAGAAATTGGCAATCGGCGAAGACATGGACACATACTGTACGAGGTTCAAGAACTTGACAAGTTCCCAATTTACTTACGAATAAATTTTGCCCGCAATATTATTAACAAGTAACCGCATATAGTTTCTCGTAAAATTAAGGTTTAATTGCACTTGTGTTTTCAAAGCTTCACATCTTTGAAGACATGCGTGAAATTAAACCTTAATTTTACTCGTCCCCATGCGATTACCTACACAAATTGATCACAAAGACGCGTATACAGCTGTGCTTGCTTCACAACAAAGAGATGTTCGGATCTGACTATCGCTACCACTACCTTTCACTGTCTACTACGCATCTGATTGGTTAGTCGAATAGTTCAAGTGCAACGAATTGGTTATAATGGTTCCTTGCCAGGGACGCCGGAAAGTCGATAATTGGGGGGGGGGGCAGATATTCATATATTCGTGTTCTGCATCATTTATTTCCTTTGAAAGCGATTGTTTTTACAGTCTGTGAACACGAATATATGAATATCTGCCCCCCCCCAATTATCGACTTTCCGGCGTCCCTGTTCCTTGCAGTGGAAGTCGAATCTGAACCTCTCCATTAAACCTCTCTACTCGTAAATTATACGTCTAGTTCGCGAAATATTTATCGTCATACGTCTAGTTCGCGTAAATATTTCGCCAAACAAGCGTGTGATTGGTGAGATGTTTCCCAAAACATGTATAAAAAAGTGAAATTGTCAATCATTATATGTAAATTATGTGAACTATATTGCGGGGCTGCACCACCTAGCATCCCCCTGGTTGCTAGCTAGCACTTTCTATTAATTTAACTTTCTGGACAGGTTTACCTAACCTTTTAACTATAAGACATAAGAAAGCTGCAAATTGATAAGGATACAACTATCTGAAAATGTAGCTACTAAATTTCTGACGAAGGGCCTTTGGCCGAAACGTCGAGGACCTCTTTGTATTTTTCAGGTTGTTGCATACAGGACTTTTCTTATTATAGTCGGTATACCGACACTGCCGCGCAGACCGTTCAAGACTAAGATAAGAATAACGTAGCACTAACGGCGACATTCAGTATCATGTACGATTGTCATGATATTCATGCATTGCCGCCATCTTTCACTTTACTTTTTTTAATTCTCGTTGAACAGTTCAGTGGCCTAAACAAGGTCAAGGAAAACATACATTAAAGTTTCGAGGATAGAACTGTCGTCAAAATGGTTGGAGTATTGTCGTACACATCCCATTCCACCAAATATAGAGATTTTCCAAAGGCACTCACTAAACTGATAAACAAGTTTGACCTACAACAGATATATTATTTAATACCCTCAATTGCTCTTTAATTTAAATGCACTGCGTTTAAACGCATTCGTTCAATTTCAGAAATAATTAATGTTTTTTCTTGTATTACCATGGCAAAATCTAATTAACTATGCACTTTCCGCATTCTTTTATAGTCAACTTCTAATTTCATGCTTGGTGGACTTGTTATTCGTCTTCTTATGTATTTACTTGAGACAATTAGCATATAGTCATAATCGTCAAATACTCATGATAGAGAGACAGAAATTTTTGCGAACTAAATCGATCGACACCAGGAAGTTTCAAGTTTCAGAAGTAAGTTATATTTGATTGTCACACTGTGTTGTTTCATATATAGGAACAATAGAAATACAGGCTTACAAATTTCAAGTAATGTTTCGTATTCTCGTGCATGTATTCGAATAAGCACGCGCAAAGCGGCTGCATTTCAAATTTTGCCATAAACAAAATGAAGAGGGATTCGTTGGCAGGAGTTCTCGTCGCCAGAATCGAATGCGAATCGTGTACGACAAATCTCAGTGTCCGTAAAGGTACATAAAGTTCAGACAAAAACGAAACGAATCCTTCCAAAACCGAAATGTTGCTGCAAGATGTTTTCTGCATGCATCTTTACCGCCATTATCATCATTTCATTTAGCACTATACCCATGTATAGGAGGCTGTCTAAGAAAGATAATTTGTAGCATGCACTCTGTTTCATTTCTTGTTTTGTAGCAAATAAGTCATTTCGTCAGTTTAAATGAACTAACTTGCTAGTACAACAGGTGTTTTATTCAATTGCTATCTCGTTTGTATCGAGACCCCTCAATGCAGAACACGGATCTTGGTGAATGTTACGTATTGAAAATATAACTCCTTTAAAATTGAAATGCCAATGCCAGAATTTAAAATTTATAACATGTAGCAGGATCCGATTGTCATTGCTGACGCCCCTTGTGCGTATGCATACTGCAAATTCAAATTTAAGTATAGTAACTTCATGTTCCTTAGTCTAGAGCTATTTCATACTTGGTCAAAGCGCAAAACCGCATAACTTCGACTTCTATTCAAAGTGCAAAAAGCATTGTTATGTATATTATTTTGCGATTATGCATGCACGTTTATGGACAAATCCTCCCCCCCCCCCCTTGATGCCCCAACATCACCCACCCACGCACACCCACCCACGGGCACACAGCCAAGGTCTCTTTTCGCCAAAATATACTAAAACATTGGAAGAAAAATGGAATTTAGAAGGGATGTTTGATATTTTAGTAACTGAATATTTCTTTTGTGAATTTTATCTCATGTCTTTTATCTACAATCTTTGCCAGAAACTATGGGACAGCTGCTGTATAGTTCATATATTTTGAAAGGAATAGCGCCCTGCGTTCCCCCAGTTCAATGTTGGGCCAACAAAAATCTGATGTCTGGATGCGCGGCGCCAACATTCAAACGGGTGGGGGGAGGGAGGGTGGAAAATATGTATCGGCAAATGGTATATTACAACAGAATGCATGTGAAAACTAGATTGTCCCAATCTATATTGTCAAAGATTGTATATGTCTTTTAAAAATGCTAAACATTATGTTGTACTGTTGTTGGAAAACAAGGCCAAACAATTAGTAGTTAGTAACTGGAATTGTAGTATTTACATAAACATACCACTGAGTACTTAACTGAAGATTCATTCAGTCAATCTACAATATAAAATAATGCTGTATATCCAAAACTCTGTTTCAGAATGTTCCCTGATCCCCACATGAAACTTTGTCACTAACTATCATCACCACACTAATTTTAGTGTGGCCCCTTTCTGTTGCTTTCCTCCCCTTCCCCCACTCCTCTGACGAATTCTTCGAAAAGACCTTGCTATAGTTATGTTTTGCTAATCATATGTTTATATCTATCCGTAATTTTAAAAAGCTGCAGGTATCCGGCCAACGCACTGGGCTTGTGATTTGTCGTTATACTGAAACAAGTCAATTTGACGTTCGTTTTAACTTACAGTATAAGCCGGTCTGAATAAGCAATGCAAAACATTTCTTTGTTTTCAAATTATGAATTTTTGAATTATGAATTATGAATTATGAATTATGAATTTTTTTTATCATTTAATTTAACATGAACTCATTCAAGTTTTTAAGGGTAGGAGAAGTAGGGAGAACACGAACAAGCGTAGGAGATGGTCAAGACGGAAGCTGAGACGAACTTGACCATTGATTACAATCTTAAAATGCACTTAATAATATTTGGTTATTCTATTTTATAATGGCGTCACTTCGGCGCGTGAGTTGAATTCCTCAAACACTTGCTTTTTCCACGAGATCAATTTTAGTCTGTATAAAGTTGATAATTGGTCTATTGACAATTGGCCTGATTTTTTTAACAATCATCATTATATTCTGAATACACAATGTTAAGCAATAATGACGATGTTTTTTACATAAAAACACTGTTAGCGGGGATTAGTGTGGGCAGTAGTTTATTTAGCAAAGTTCGTATTACAAAATATATAGGAGTTCGTTTAACTCCTTGAAAATCAATTGTGCGCTTCTGTTTTTAAAAATAAAACATAGTTTTATTCCCTCATTGGCGCAAAAAGCCATTAAGAAAGCTGAACCTAAGTCCTGTTAACTCATTTGACAACCATTTTACTACCGGCAAAGTATGTACTAGTTAGATATTTTAATTAAATATACAAACGTTGCCAGAGTCAGTCGAGTTGCCTTTTTGTATTTATGTATAACAATGTTATATCTGTAGACGTAATTACTATAAGTTAACGTGATCTATCCATCTATGTATAAATTGCATCGAAATTTCAATTCAACACAGAGGAGCAGTAACTTTGTGACACTATTACTCATGACTTTTGACAACATTTCCTTGTTTATTTGTAACATTGAAGAGTTAATAATTTCAAAAAGGCTACTTAACGGATCACTACGCATGCAGTCTTTAGACATGATGTGTACACTTATGTTAAGTACCATAGGTAAATATGAACAGCCGGTCCGTGTGGGCGCTTAATATTTTCCATCATTTCCTTAAAGTAAATTATTTTGTTTTAATTGGTGCTATATAAATCACGCTATTCACTTCAATCATTGAGTCAGACATAAAAACTGATTCCGGAGTGGAAGGAGAAATAGTTGTACTTCAACATTCATTACTCCTACCCTAATTATTCTTAAAATACCTGGGGTATGAATATTGTTGGAAAAATAGCCTTTCCTCAGTGAAAAACTTCGACAGCTTAGCTAATCTTAAAAGCTTTCTGTATGTGACATACACAGCTGCGTTGGTCAACAAAACTTTTAATAATAGGTTTTGTTTGTGGAAACACCACGTAAATTTATTACTGCAAAGCTTTCGATCCGTAAGCCCGGATCTTCATCAGTGCTAATAATATGTGACTTGTTTAATTCACACGCTCTTTTTATATACAAAAGTGTCGTGATCTGTTGGCTCGCGTCATTTGAAATTTAATTAAACGGCACATCAACCACGTCATTCCAAACGTAGTGAAGTGATTCCAATTAACGCGCGCGCATCCAAGACAAGAGAAATTAATTTTGCACATTAAAGAGAGCACGCCACGTACTATCTAGTGGCTTTCCCTCCTGATCTATAGTATTGTGCTTCTCAATTTCAATTGACTCTCTCATTTTGCGAGAGAACTTGTGACTATCAATTGCCAAAATGGTTGCTTCGTCCCATTTTATACGATGGTCGTAAGTCCAAGTATGTTTAGCCACAGCAGATTTATCTTGCTCGGCTTTCTCGCAATTCGTCTTGTGTTCCTTAAGACGTACTGAGAGATTTCGACCAGTTTCACCAAAGTAAACCAGACCACATTCACAAGGAATGCGGTACACACCAGGTTTCTGAGATTCATTTACATTGTCCTTATGTGTGCAAAGAGCTCGAAACAATTTGTTTTCGCTGGAATGGTATACCTTTATACCTGCTTCATTCCTCAAAATTCTTTCGATTTTGTGTGAAGCCGGGCCAATGTATGGTAGACAAACAGACGACTGATACTCAATCTTCTGCTGTATACTTTGTGGCGTTTTCATAGCATTATCTATGAAATGCCGTGGGTAACCATTCGTTTTTAGAACATTATTCTTAAATGTTCTAATTCATTGTCAACGTTACTTACCTCACAAATTGTTTTCGCTCGGTTGATGAGTGTCTTACACACAGAGTTTTTGATACTAGGATGATGAAATGAATTATAATGCAGATACCTGTCTGTATGTGTTGGTTTCCTATAAACCTTATGTCCTAGCGACCCATCATCATGTATAGTGAAAAGAACATCTAAGAAAGGTATAGTTTTATCATCCTTCTGTACTTCAAAAGTAAACTTGATCGATGGATGCAAACTATTAATGTGGTCTAGAAACTTTTGTAGATTATCTAGTCCATGAGACCAGCTACTCAATGTATCATCCACGTATCTGAACCAGAAACCAGGTTTCAACTTTGCAGTAGCTAAGGCCTTCTTTTCAAATTCCTCCATGAACAAATTAGCCATAACAGGCGACAATGGACTTCCCATTGGAGCGCCGTTTGTTTGTTCATAGAATTTCTCCCGCCATTGAAAACATGTCGTGGTCAAACATAGTTTCAACAAATCATGAACATTCTCAGGAGAAAGATTAGTTCTTTGAGATAAAGTAATATCTGAAAGAAGTCTTTCTTTCGCGATATTACAAGCCTCTTCAACTGGAACATTAGTGAACAAGCTAACTACGTCAAAACTTACCAGAATGTCATTCTTACCCAATCTAATTTGTTCCATTTTTGTTACAAATTCTTTAGAATTTACTACATGATGTTCTGTTTTTCCAACAACTGGTTTCAATATCTCAGCGAGATATTTAGCCAGAGCATACGTTGGCGAACCTATGGACGCTACAATAGGTCTTAGTGGGACATTAGGTTTATGTATCTTAGGCAAACCATAAAATTTTGGACAAACAGTAGCTGAAGGTCTCAAACAATTATGAAGTGTTTGAGACAAAATACCTGCCTTTTTAAAACCAGATAGTTTGGAACATATTTTACGTTCAATGTTAGCTGTAGGGTCTCTTTTAAGCTCTTTATAAGTTGAAGTGCTTAAAAGAGCCAAGATTTTATTATCATATCCTAGACGATCTAAAATAACCGTAGCGTTACCCTTATCAGCCTTTAAAATATGTATTGACTTATCTGCTCTTAAGTTTCTCAATGCATCCTTCTTATTCTTGGTTAAATTCGAAGCTGGAAGCGTTGCACGTCGTAGAACCTCAGTGATTTGGACGCGGATGTTACTAGCTGCATCGTTCGTCATGTGGTATAACTTCGGTTCCAAACGTTGTACAAATTCTTCTTTAGGTAGAACACGGGGTACCACAGCGAAATTTCATCCAAGAGTCAAGACATCTTCTTCAACCGGCGTAAGTCTTCTAGCACTCATATTGATAACGGTGCGCTGTAGTGGATGACTGGCCAAATCTTCTTGTCTGCGATGCGTCCGACCAAAGGACGTCAATTTTGTGAATTTGGCAATCTGAGTGGAACGTGCTTTGTTGAAAGTTTTCGTAGAAGACGCAGAGATCATTCTTTTAGCTGTTGCATAGTGTTCTTCATTTAAAGTCATCCACAATTCTTCATTCAGAGATAAAATACGTTCATCCACTCTGCATAACTGTCCACGAGTCCAAGCAATTCGTTCTCTTACTAATGCCAACTCGGCTTTCATCAAGATCTTTCGCGCATACTTAGTATGATATTGCGTTGAGATGCGTAATCCTTTTGGAACAACCTTGTTGTCTCGACACCTTTTCAGAAAGGCGAGGTTGTTAATCAATCTTGAACGTTGATTGGTAAGCCGATCAAGTCTTTTAAACGCTGAATGTATACACTCTCCATAGAGGTCTGTAATAAGTTCTTTGTATGTTTGCATGGTGATAAAATATAATAGGTT